TTTTTTGTTTCTTTTTTGTTTTCTTTTTTTCGTACCGAAAACACTGTCTGTCGTTATTGCATTCATCATTATATATACTTTATTCCAGTTCCAGCCAAAGTCCTTTGGATATCTGATAATGAATCCTTCATCGAAGGGAATAGCGTCACATTAGCATGCAGAGTCAAAGGCAACCCGGTTCCATATGTATCCTGGATTTCACCCAATGGAACTGTTTTACAAAACAAGACCAACAGCGAGAACAATACATATACAATACAACATATGTATGGCTGGCATGTTGGGGCTTATCGATGTATGGTGCAGAATGTACATGGCGGAGATGACCGTATTACCTACATATATTGTACGTTTATTAAAATACTTGGAGTTACTCAGTTTTGTTAATTATTATTATGAATTATAAAAATACCCATTGCTTCAAGATGGTTTTGCCGTCCCCAAGTGTTTTTTTTTTTTTTTTTTTTTTTAGATGGTTTTTTTTTTTTTTTTTTTTTTTTTTTTTTTTTGTAGGTTTGTTTGTTTGATTGATTCATCTGTTTGATTGATCAATAGCGCAGCGCAGTCGTGACGTCATAAAAACGAAGACAAAGGTGAAATTCGGACAAACAAACCTACAAGTTTACTTTCAGCAGATAATTTTCACAGCCGATCGCAGTTGATCTTAGTTTACATGGTTTATTATTGTAACTTTAAGTAAAAATAATAAAATCGGTTCGTATAATCCTCGTAGCGGTCAAACAGAATGCAATGTTTGTCCGAATCTTTAAGCTATTTTTAGAATGAGTGCGCTGCGCTATTACTTTTTTCCTTTAAAATATTGCTTGTGTTTATGCCCTGTTTTATATGTTATATTTGTTTGTTTGTTTAATTTTTGTTTCTTTTCTTTTCTTTGTATCTGTATCTGTATCAGCAAGAGTATGTCCCTTTTTTATCTGCTTCTCTGCGGTTTCGTTGTCTTTGTTAGTTGTTCTTTTCTTTTCTATTGTCATATTAATGGGCTTAATTATCTTACAATTATTTTTAGTACCTCCAAAGATCAATACCATTCATCCTCAATCAATCACCGTCAACGAGAGCAACACCATCACCATATTTTGCAATGCCACTGGTCTACCACAGCCTTCAATAACTTGGACGAAGGCAGACAGAAATGAAGAGGTTATTAGTTCAGGAGAAACGTTAACTATCCCCAGCATTAGGCGCAATCAGACTGGTGTTTATGTCTGCACTGCTAGTAATGGTGTGTTGGGTTCTGCATCCGGGAATTCTTCCATTAATGTACAATGTAAGTAATTTAAGTGCATTGCACCAAATGCTGCAAGTTGCACAGGAAAAAACCTTATATGTTTCTTTATTTTTCAGAAAGACAAGTTCTCTTCACAATTCATATCATAGTTCTCTTCTCCATTTTCAATTAATTATAACACTTTTTAATATCCTTTCCCATTGTCTGCCTGATCTTTAGTTTCTCCAAGTATCATCTACACATCACCAAGTCAGTCAATAACAGAAAACGAGACCTTAACATTGTTCTGCAACGCGACTGGGAATCCCTTACCTCCTATCCAGTGGTTCAAGGTAAACAGCACCAATGTTGTGTTTCCTATTGGCAGTCAACTCACAATAGAAAGAATAAAGGCAGATGACAAAGGGATATACAAGTGCGTTGCAGACAACGGTATTGGTCGACCAGTGGCGAAAGATATCCACATAAATGTGTTAGGTAATATACAATGAATGCTATAAAATTATTGAAACAAATTATAACAATGATAAATTTGATCAGCATTGTCATCGTCACCAGAATCATCAAAATCATTTTAGTCATCATCATCATCATCTCCACCATAACCAGTATAATCATTGTCGCGGTCACCGTCAACAATCCCCCAACCCCCTCCACCGTACCACCATAGATTTGAATAATTATGATCTATTCGAGTAATTGATTTGAGTTGTGTGTTAACATGCCTTGCTGAGATCATGTCCCGAGGTTGTTCCAGTTTTTGTACAAATTTAGTGTCGTGAGTTGAGGTTTTATTCAATTCATGGTCAAAATCGTAGCAAAAAGTCATGTTCGTGAGATGTAGATGAAACAATTTTTTTTTTCAAAATAAATGAATAGCTAATGATTATAATTTTTCGTCACAGTTTCCCCTACCATCGACGTAATATTCCCAAAGACTCAGGTAGTCACCGAATCATCTTCGGCAACTATATTCTGCAATGCCACAGGAAACCCAGAGCCTAACATTACTTGGACAAAGGACGAGGACAGAAGCCTGATCCTCCCTAAAGGAAAGACCCTCATGTTATCCAAAATCAATCGTAATTGCACGGGTACATACAGATGTACAGCTGAAAATGGAGTTATCAAAACGGCGCAAGGAATTGCCACTATAAATGTACATTGTAAGTATTTCAAGATTAATCTTTAACCAACTGTCCGACGGGACTACAATACGGTAGATTAAGGCTACCTATTGAATATAGTATTTGTTTCACATATTGTGAAGTAGACTAACATCGTTAACTTTACTAAGATAGAGTTGTCTTTAAAATTTTTAATGGCATTTCTAACTCACAGATAAGGCGTTGTTAAGGGATATGGGATGCCAAAAATGAACAATTATTATGCGATTGAATCTACCAGTGTTTAAAGTTTATATTATACTTTGTTGTCCAAATATCAAAAAAAAAAAAAAACAAAAAAAAAAAAACAAAAAAAACAAAAACAAAATAATAAAAAAAAAAAAAAAAAAAAAAAAAAAAAAAGGAAAAAAAGGAAAAATCAAAATATTAAAATCAAATTCACAACAAAAATTATCAACTCAAAAAAGTTAAAAACGCACACTTGCAATCGAAATTACCTAAAAAGGTAAGCTAAAGTATACGAAACATCAAGGACACAGACAACATTTGTATTATCCCTAGCAAAAACAAAGCATACATTTTTTTAGGTAATTATATACATGTGTCTATGCCATTTTAATTTCTAAATATTTGAAACGAATAATACTATCTGCCACGGATCTTTTTATTTATCTTTTTTAATGCACAAATGTGTTACGAGATTATTGCAAATCTATTGATCTTTTCTTGCATGACACGCGCATGAAATAGATCCTTAGCACGAGGCAAATTACAAATATTTATGTTTCCAGATTCGCCTATGATAGTAAGAGCTCCTAAAGATCAATTTCTTAACAAAACAAATCCACTGATACTCTTTTGCAATGCAACTGGTAACCCTGCGCCTAATATAACTTGGGAGAAAATCGGTGGAAGCATCCGAGTCTTTAAACCAAGTCAAATGCTCTACATCAATGAAACGTCAAAGATAGATGAAGGAATATATAGATGCACAGCAGAAAATGGTATCGGGTCTGCGGTTAATGCCACAGCATACGTGAAAATCAATGGTAAGTTATGATTGAAGGCTAAATCCTATAGGTTTGTTATATTTTATGCACAATACATTATCCTAAAAGAAAATTGCTTAGTAAAAAAAAAAAAGAAAAAGAAAAAAAGAAAAATTAAATTGGAGTGAAAAAGGCTACAAAAATCAATTAGTAACTTTACGAAATGGTAGATTAATGAACATTAGTTAAAGTAGTCAGCACTTTTTAATCCATTTAGCGGTGCTTATTGGTAATTTGTTAAAATATATATTAAATTTTTGACAATTATTCTTTCTTGCTTGCTTTTGCCTTTTCCAATGTTCTCTTCTTCTCTTTCTCCTCTTAGTTGCTTTTTACTTTTAAAATGTATTAATTTATAATGTATTTTCACTTTTCCTTTATCTTGCGGTTAAAATACTTTCTTTAAAATGTTGATGTTATTTCTGAATGATGGATTTTTTCTTGCAGCATTCGTTGCCCCTATCTTCAACCATACTCAAACTAACCTAACTGTAAATGAATCCAGCTCAGCAATGCTACACTGCAATGCAAGTGGCAATCCTTCACCAACAATACATTGGTCATATATCAAACATGGACTCACGACCAAGATTTCTAACGAGGAAAGTTTGTTTCTAAACAATATCCAAAGGAACGAAACTGGAATATATAGTTGTATAGCGACCAATGGAGTAGGCGACCCAGCAATCACTGATACATTTGTCGATGTTCAATGTAAGCGAACTTAACATTATTTCCAAATCCCTTGTCATGCATTTGATGAATTTCTTTTATCGTTTCATGCAATGTTTTACGCCATTAAAGTAAATATTTTATGGATTGTTTTCGACAGATGGCCCAGAAATTTTAAACACTATCTCCCAACTAACAGTAAATGAACGTGACGTATTCACCGTTAAATGCAATACCTCAGGAAACCCATCACCAGATGTAAAGTGGAAGAAAGTTGGACTAAACCAAACATATATCATTTACCACCAAGAGGTTCTTAACTTTACAATGGTTACTAAACGGCAAGCGGGGACTTACGTCTGCGAAGCTAAGAATATTTTAGGAACTGCTTCCGCTTCTGTTAAACTTACAGTACAATGTAAGTAAGCAATTACAGTATTAAAGAATATGGTTTGGATATAGTTTAAGGCAGCTCGTAGCCTTGGATCCATTTTTCAACCAACTACATATTATCTCATTAATAGTTCTGCCATCATGGTATTGAACAAATTATGCCTTAAACCAGCTAGCTAGCCACGTATCATGTACTTAATTAATCGGTATCCATTCGTTACTTACAGTCGGACATACGGACTTCATGATTTAATGCAAACGCTTATGTTATACTGTTTCAGATAAACCCACTAGCACCGTGTTGACAAGTAATACTTCCAACAACACTGCTGAGTTTGGAAGTACTCTTTTCATAAATTGCACAACTGATGCTGTTCCTAAGGCCCATTTATTCAAGCTATTCAATAATGGTCAATTATTGGAAGAAAATGAGCTTGGTTTGTTTGTTCTTTCACACGTGAATCGATCTAATGAAGGAAGTATCCAATGTTTGCCGTATAATGTTCTTGGTGCTGGAGAATTAGCAGAGATGAATTTGACAGTACGTTTTGAAAGTAAGACTTTTTTCGATAACATCAAAATATATATCTATTTTTAATTTTTTGTCATCGTAAACTCTTTTTGCTTCTCCTGACCATAACATAACTTACGTTTGTATGTATCTCACAATGGCAACGTTGAAAGTTAAATATTCAAAGTTCCATTTACCTCAACGTAATGTATTCTCATTTCTCTCTCTCTCTCTCTCTCTCTCTCTCTCTCTCTCTCTCTCTCTCTGCGAAACCAAATTATACTTAGAATCCTAACTTTCTATTTGTGTGCTCATTTATTGTTTGTAGTTGAACCAATGATACAGAACCATTCAGATAACCTGGTCACGAACGAAGGACAACATTTTATTCTTTACTGTAATGCCACTGGGTTCCCAGCACCATCAATTACATGGTTGTTTCAACATTCCGATCTCAATAAAACTTTAAGATCAAATACAAGTAGCTTGGTAGTGATGAATGCCACAAGAGAAGACAATGGAGCATATATATGCCAGGCTGCAAATGGGGTTGGGTCTGCAGCTGTAGCTATAGTTAATGTCAGTGTGCAATGTAAGTGGTTAAACTCGAGCTCGGATGATCATGAGAGATATATGCGCAAGTGACATATAAGTGAATTCATGATGTTTTGCAATAGCCTTTATATATTGCTATTATGATTCAGTATTGAAGAATAGTATAACCTTGGTTAGTTGTTCGAGCATCACCTAACATCATCTGGTTTTATAAGCTAAAGAGAGGCAATTATAAAAAAAATGAAAAATAATAAAAACGTGTTGTTTTCTCTAGCTAGAAAACAAAAATGATAAACATATATTTATGTTACCACTAAACGATTTTAAAATCGAAAAAGCTATTTTTGCGAACACTGGCAAAGAGTGTGCTTAGCTTTGCTCTGGAACTTGCAGATGTTTGGTCATTTTGCTTGACGTGCAAAATGATAATATTAGCAAATGAATGTTACAAATTTGTTTTATTCTTTCCAAACACATGGTGATATTACTAGCTGGTCTATTGCTGTTTCACTAGAGTAATTAATAAGCTTGCGCAAGCCTGTGTTATCAAAGAGTTAGAAATGCCATTCAAGTCTCTTAATTGTGTAAAAAAGTAAAACGAAAATGAAAGTATCCTGTTACCAAAATTATTTTTCATTATAGATAAACCAGAAATGCTGAGACCTTTGAAACGTTTTATAAATTCTTGGAAAGGAAGACAAGCTATATTAACATGCGAAGCCAATGGGAATCCAGTACCAACCATCACGTGGTCTAGACCTGGCTTACTGGGTACTATTGCAATGAATGAAAGGACAGCAAAAAGTACCCTTTCTGTGATGCTGACAAGTTCTTCTCTATTTGGTACTTACGTCTGTAATGCACAAAATTCTGTGGGAAAAATTTCAAGCGAAATAAATGTTATTGAACTAGGTATGAAATATTTATAAAACACAGTAGTGAATCATTGCTTTGTTGTTGCCATGTTGTTGTTGTCATTTTCTTGTTCTTGTTCTTCTTCCAATTATTCTTCTTGGTAAGCGATCCGTGCTAGCTCCTACTATTTAGCCCAAACACTAAGTATGTGAACCATTTTATAAATAAGTTGTCAAGTACATTGCATTTTGTAAATGTTTCCAAAATGTTTTGTTGTTCAAGTTGCACCAGGGTCGCCATTCATTGAACGGATTGAACCAGGAAATGACACAATAACGATCACTTGGAACAAACCGAAAAGTGATGGAGGAACGCCAGTGACATCGTATGTTGTTGAAGTGAAGCGAGAAGGAGACGAGACCTGGGCTTCTTGTACCACACAAGGCGAACTTCGTTGCTCCATCCCTGGGCTAAAAATAGCTACTGGCTACACTGTAAGGATAACCGCCCAAAACATCGTTAGCAAAGGAAAAACAAATGAAGGTATAGTATAATCATAAAAATAGCTTATTCACATTTTAGAAATAAAGCAATTCAACATTATAAAATAACTGTGAAAAATATAGCGTTATGATTGGTTGAGAACACGTGAAGTACTATCACGAGAGCACACTTTTTATTGGGTCATTCTTATCCAAAATAAATGTCAATTGGTATTTGATATTCGGTCGAGTTAAGAATGTCGAAATATTCTTTAATTGAACTATAAGTAATCGATTTTTTATATACTTCTAGTCCAAATTGTTGTGACTGAGCACGATATCCGCCTTCTTGATGAGCGTTGGTCAGGTGTTTTGTATAGTACAACTAGTACCAATTTTACAAGACTATCGAGTAGGTTCGAACGAGAGGTAAATACAGAACTTGCTTTAGTGAACAAAATAGAAACGCTAATGTTTTATAATGGTTTATAAATCATTTGTATTGTGTTTATTGTTGTTATTTGTTAAAGATTCTGAATATTTCTTTTTTTTGTTCATGCTTTTTGTTTTGTTTATGGTTTTGTCTGTTTGTTTATTTGTGTTGTAGTTCTTGTTGTTGTTGTTGTTGTTGTTGTTGTTCATTGTTTTTAATGTCATGCATGTATTTTTAGGGGCTCTAGTAAGTTTGCTACATGTTTGCATATTGCAGGTGTGGAATTCGTATTCAAGTGTTGACTACGTGAAAGGCATCAAAGTGATAAACTTCAGGTACATGGCTACCCCATCTTGGTAATGGTACATTCACCTGTTGTGATTTGTTTTTGATGATTACTTTTTTGTTGCATTGCAGGCCTGGTAGCGTCATCACAAAATTCCGAATCGCACGCTTAATAAACACTACGGATCATTTGAAACCGCTCGAAATAGCATTAGATGATGGGTATCTAGGTCAAATGAGGGCTGAATTCTATTTTGAAAAGCCAGGTATATTCCTTTGACGAAATCTTCAATCCTATCCAATTCCACTTTTTTTTTCTTCGGCAGTCGGATGTTGCAGTTATATTGATGTTTCTCTCTCGCGCACACTCTTTACTCAACATACACTCTGTTTCCTTTCTGAATTTGTTTTTCCAAGAAGATTAGATTCAATATTTTTTCTGTTTGTTTATTTTCATTCGCAATATTATTGGGTTTTTCCTTCCCTGAATTATGTTTGCAGGAACAACCGGTGCGAGGTCTTCTATACCTGATGATGTAGTAGGTGGCATATCATCATTCATCATACTTCTTATCATCATTTTGATAATATTATTCATCTGGTATCGATACCGCAAGACCAAAAAAGGTAAACAAATGCGTGCATGATCTATGATCATATCTACATATTTAAAATTCCTGCTAGTACATTATTTTTTTCCTTTAAAAGCTTTCCTTTAACGAAGGCAGAGGTGGGGGTGAATGCTATCTAGCATTAAATTCAAGAGTATTTATAAGTCAGTAATTATAAGTAAAAGTTATTTTTGTTTAAAAAAAACATTCTCCCTCTTTTAACGATCTGAGCTTGAAGAAACATTTTCAGTTACGTATTCTAACTGAGAATGTGAAATTGATACTTTTAAAAAAATAACACATGTACTCATTTTTGCAGTAACTTTGACGAGGAACAAGGAACAGAATGATGTTGAGAGGTAAATCAGTGATATACAACATATGCAAACACATTCAATTATTTGAAAAGTGCTATAATCATTTTTTCTATGTTTTAAGCGAGAGTAATCAAGGTGAAGCGGATAAAGAGGGAAGCTCTGGGAAGAATGAAAGCAATACTAATGAGGTAAAGTATTTAGCTTTACATATGTTCATAATGTGTGTGGCCTGCATCCTTGAAAACGGCGTCCATCAATCATGATCAACCCATATGTTATGTCCTTATATAAAAAAGTTCTTATATTTTATCGTTCATTGTTTTACTTGTCTAATCATTTCATCACTTTTTCACGAATTATTTTCTTTATTATGACGAAATTCACGACTTTCTTTAAAGGGCCACTTGGACGAAAAT